CAGCAGCAGCAGCAGCAGCAGCAGCAGCAGCAGCAGCAGCAGCAGCAGCAGCACTAGGAAGAGGACAGCAGCAAGACCCCTCCCCCGCAAGATTGCATGCGCTGCAGCTCTCGCGCTGCGGCGGTGGATGAAGGTGGCTCTCAGGCCGGTAGAAGCAGCAGCAGCAGCAGCAGCAACAGCAGCAGCAGCAGCAACAGCAGCAACAGCAGCAACAGCAGCAGAAGAAGCAGGAGATAAAGACTTACAGAGATACGCACAGCTGCTGCAGCTGGTGCGGCTGACAAACGAAAACACCGCAGCAACACCAGCAGCAGCAGCAGCAGCAGCAACAGCAGCAGCAGCAGCAGCAGCAGCAGCAGGAGAAGAAGAAGATGAAGAAGAAAACAGCAACGAAGACAAAATAACAGCAGCAGCAGATGCACTAAAAATTCTAGCTGCACCAACAAAACCACAAACCCTCAAAAAAGCAATACGAGAAACCGCACACAGACTGCAGGTCAGAAACCCTAAACCCTAAACCCTAAACCCTAAACCCTAAACCCTAGAATATAAACCCTAAAATGTAAACACTAAACCCTAAACCCTAGAATATATACCCTAGAATATAAACCCTAAAATATAAACCCTAAAATATAAACCCTAAACCCTAGAATATAAACCCTAAAATATAAACCCTAACACGTACGAACTAAACAGTATTAACCCCTAAACCCTAAATATTAAACCCTAAACCCTAAATATTAAACCCTAAACCCTAATTTTCGTGGTGGCTCCCCTGCAGTGTGTGATAGTTTTGCGTTTAGAGTGTGTCTTTGTTGTTGAGGGTTTAGGGTTTAGGGTTTAGGGTTTAGGTTTTTTTTTTTATTTTTTTTATTTAATATTTCAGGTTTTTCTTTGTTCTTCTTTTTCTTCCTATGATGACCTCTTCTGCCGTCTTCCTCTTCTCCTTCTCTCCTTACAATTCATTTGCTGCTACCCTCACCCAGGGCCCCCCACCAAGTGCTCTCAGCTGCTGCTGCAGCAGCAGCAGCAGCAGCGGCAGCAGCAGCAGCTGCAGCAGCAGCAGCAGCAGCGGCAGCAGCAGCAGCTGCAGCAGCAGCAGCAGCAGCTGCAGCAGCAGCAGCTGCTGCAGCAGCAGGAGCAGCAGCAGCAGCAAGGTGTACACAATGGAGCTCTCGCCTTGAGCGCAGACGCAGGGGGGCCCCCAGGGGGGCCCCCAGGTAGGGTACTGGGGGGTCCCCTGGGGGGGGCCCCTAGGGGCCCCCCTGCTGCGTTTACTGCATTTCGTGTTTGTGTTGAGTTTGTTGTTAGTTGTATTGATGATGAAGACCCAAGGATACGAGCTGTTGCTGAAAGGTGGATAGATACAGGACAAGCTGCTGCTGCTGCTGCTGCTGCTGCTGCTGCTGCTGCTGGTGTCCCTGCTGCAGCAGCAGCAGGAGCAGCAGCAACAGCAGCAGCAGCAGCAGCAACAGGAGAAGGAGAGAGTTTGAGTGTTGCTGCAGTGGAGATAAATTCGCTGTTTCGTTCTGTCTTAGAGCAGCCAACAGCAGCAGCAGATGCCTCCCTTTGCTGCTGGGGAGAGACACAAGCAGCAACAGCAGCAGCAGCAGCAGCAGCAGCAGGAGCAGCAGCAGCAGCAGCAACAGCAGCAGATGAGTATGAGCTTGTTCCTGGGGGTTATATAGAGACATCACCTATGAGCCCTGCAGCAGTAGTGCAGCTGCTGGGGGAGGGAAAGATAAATGCTGCTTTTGCTGCTGCTGCTGCTGCTGCTGCTGCATGCAGCTGTGTCTTCGCCAGCACAAGCCCAGAGGAGACGCAGCACAGGAGGGCGCTGCTGCTCTCCTCGCTGAGAAATCTACGGGGCCAGTTCAAACTCTGCCGTCTGCTGCAGCAGCAGCAGCAGCAGCAGCAGCAGGAGTCAGCAGCAGACGCGTATGCAGAAGCTCCGTTTCACAGCAGCAGCAGCAACAACAGCAGCAGCAGCAGCAGCAGCAGCAGCAGCAGCAGCAGCAGCTGGTGCGTTGATGACATAGAAAGTATTATACTTGTCAGTGGGGGGTTGGATCTAGAAGCTGCTGCTTCTTCTCTGTCTCGTCTCTGCCGTCTGCG